CGGGGAAGAAGGGCAGCAGCTCTCCACGATCCACCTAGCCAAGAGGCAGATCCATATGCCAAAGTGTGTGCTCATAACTGTTCCGCACGTTCTTGATTTGAAATCCGGGGAGATTTGTGGTTCCTTTCGTCAGAAATCCAAATCCAGCGGAAGGGTTTGCTAGGAAGCCCAGCTGGGCCTCACAGCCATCTCTCCTCTGATTTGGATGAATTCAGTGTAACAACAAAACCCATTTTGTCATCGTTGTTTTATGAAGGACTTTTTTTCCCATCATTTTGTTATGAAAAATTTCAAAGATACTGAAAAGTTCATATGGAAAAGGGTAGGCACCGAGAGTTTATAGTAGCATCTGCCCCATGGGTTTGATCTCACGTCCGTCCAACTGCCCACCCTTCTGCCCACCCACACACAGCTTTGTTACTTATGCATTTGAAGTACATTGCAGACATTGTACACTTCACTCCTAAACAACTTAGTATACATATTACTAGGGTTTAATATATTTATAGTTGTTTTTGAGGTAAATTTATATACAGTCAAATTCATATATCCCAAGGATACCATTTGATGAGTTCAGAACCCGTTTTAACAAGCCTCACCCCCAATGAGCTTGAGTTTGCTCTTGGACAAGTATTAGGGGAAAATAAAACTGAAACAGAAATAGTTATATAGAATTTCCAGTCCTCAGGATGTAGGGGTGTGTGTCCAAACACATATATGTACATGCACACACGTGTGTCGGGGTGATCTGTGGCCGCCTGCACTATCTGGCACAGCTGCAGGGCGGTTGGAGAAGGGAGATTCTGGGGAGAGGCAGAGTTAGCAGACTCTCTGCTAGCCCAGAGCAGCGGGTGTGGGCCAATCGATGCTGTGGCAGCGCAAAAGGAAAAGAAGGAATAAAACAAAGCTTTTAAATATGTGCACTTTTCACCTGCTTAAAAAGAATCCCTGGGAACTTTGCTTCTGGCCAAAAATGGAGTTTAGGGGACTGGACTTGCCCTTCTACCTGAAACAACCAAAAATTCAGACAAAATATAAGAAACAATGGTTTTTAAGTTACTAGACATCACGCAACCAGGAACAACGATCCCTTAGAGAGGAAACGAAGGTGAACCGGGAGCACTGCCAGACCGCGGTGCAGGCAGAGGGAACCCAGAGCCCGTAGCCCTCCTGGGCTGAGGAGCAGAGCAGAGAGTCTGGGGGGCCAAGACAGCTAAAGTCTGAAGAGCAGACATTGGAGCTCAGGGACAGGATTCCGGAGACCTGAAGAGAGTCCCCCGGAGTATTCAGCGGAGTCCTGACCAGCATATGGCAGGCAGGCTGGGAACCGAACCACCCAGTAGGGTTAGGTGGAGCAGCAGCTAGGGCTCACATGGGCCAAGAGCAGCGCCAGACTGGAAAACATTCTACCTTCTGGGCACTGGGTAGAGCACTCAGACAGGTCTTGCCTTAGCAGTGGGCAACAGGTAGACGCGGGTAACATAGGGCTCTCATGCTGCCCAACACATCTTAAAAGCAGCACCTGAAAGGATCAAACTGCTTTCACATAACTGCATCCCAGGACAAAGCTCGAGAATATTCATAGGAATACAGAAATATCCGGCACCCAACAAGGTAAAATTGACAGTATCTGACATCCAATCAAATTATCAGGAAGCAAAGAGGGAGGACAATGTGAAACATTATAGGTTAAAAATAAATCAATCTAAACTGCCCTGCATTGGACAGAGATGTTAAAATTGGCAGCTGAGGATATCAAAACAGTTAATATAATAACATTTAAGGGATCCAAATAATACAAAGTATATTCTATGACCACAACTAGATCAAATTAGAAATCAGTAACAAAATGATCTCTGGAAAAATCCCCAAATGTTGGAAAGTGAAATGACACAGTTCAAAATAACCCATGGGTCAAAGAAAAAAATCAGAGGGAAATTAGAAAATATTTTGAACTGAATATATATTTTAATACAACATAAAATGTGTGTGATACCACCAAAGCAATACCTAGCGGAGAACTCTGTAGAACCACATAGAAAAGAAGAAAGGTCTCAAATAAATTACCTCACTTCCACCTTAAGAAACTAAAAATAAAAGAGCAGAAATAAAATCTGTAGTAAACAGAAGAAAATAATAAATGTGAGAGCAGAAATCAATAAAATAAAAAGGGAAAAACCAATTAACCTAACAGCTTGTTCTTTGACCAGACCCCGATGGCATCACTGATGATGAGTTCTACCAAATGTGTAACATTTACCAAACAGCTGCATAAATTCTCCCAGAGAATTGAAGAGGGGAGAGGACTTCCCAACTCATTCTCCAAGACCATTGTGACCCTGATACCAAAGCCAAAGACATTACTAGAAAGAAAACTATAAACCAATATTCTTCATGAACATAGATACGAAAATAGAAATAGAAATGTAGTGAATTGAATCTAATAGTATATAAAAAGGATAATACATCATGACCAAGAGGAGTTTATCCCAGCAATGCAGATTGGGTTAATATTTAAAAGTAATTAATTCCCCATATTAACAAACTAAGAAAGAGAAAACATATGGTCGTCTCAATAGACATATTAAAGACATTTGACAATATCCAATATCCATTTCTGATCAAAAATCTCTGCAAAGCAGGAAAAGAAAGAAACTTCTTCAAACTGATAAAGAGCATCAATGAAAAACAGACAGCTAACATCATCACTAGTATGGAAAAGTGAATACTTTACCCCCAGATCAAAAATGAAGCAAGAATATCTGTTCTCACTGCTTCTATTCAACACTGTACAGGAAGTTCTAGCCATTACAACAAGGCAAAAAAAAAAAGAAAGGGAGGGAGAAAGGGAAAAGAAGGAAGGAAGGGAGAGGGAGGAAGTAAGGGGGGAAGGGGGAAAGGAAGAGAAGGGAATAAGGAAAGAGGAAAGGAAAGGAAGAAGGAAGGAAGGAAAGAAAAGAGGAAAGGAGAAAGGGAAGGGAAGGAAGGAAAGGAGGGAGGGAAGGTAGGTGGGCATCCGGATTGGATAAAAAGACAAAATAAATAAAACTATTTACAGACCATATAATTTTGTCCATGGGAAAAACCCACTGCAATCCACAAAACAGATTCCAAATTTAATAAGTGATTTTGGCAAGGTTGCCGGATATAGCAGCATTACAAATACAGTTGTATTTCTAATTCCTAGCAGTAAACGATCAGAAATTAATTTTTAATATAATTTTCAAGAGCATCAAAATATTAATTACTTAAGGATAAATTTGACCGAAGATATACAAGAACACAAAGCATTGCTGAGATAATTTCTTAAAAGACCTAAATAAGTGGATATATGTATATATATATAGCTAGCACTCGCATGGCTGAAGGGCAGACAAGCTCCCAGGGCCGCCTCTATCAGGGCACTCACACCATCTCAAGGGTGGAGCCCTCATGGCCTAGTCACCTCCCAAGGCCCCGCCTCCTAACACCAGGTTAGGGTTTCAACGTAAGGATTTGGGGAGGACACAAGGACACAAACACTCCAACCATAGCACTCCCGTAAGTTAAAGCAGGTCCCTTAGGGAACACGTGGCTGAGTGGACTGAGCACGAGCAGGGCCTCTGCGTCTGCGCAGTGGCTGTGCGCGGCTGGCGGGAGAGCACCGGCAGAGGGAGCCTGGAGGGAGGGGCCCCCAGGGAGTGTCGAGGAAAGGGTCAAGGGCGCCTGGCCCTTCTCAATTGTTCTGGGCTTGGGGCTTCATGTCCTTGCCTGTGGGACTGTCGTTAGGGATAACGGAGAGAGAGTGGCACGAAGACGGTGCCGCGGAAACGTAGCTGTGATGAGGGCTGTCACCGCAACCCTCATTCTCAAGCGTCACTGTAAAGGCTGCGGGGAGGGAGGACTAGCGAGATGCGGAGGCCCCTGGGCTCAAAGGGAGACGGAGCGAGCTGGGGCGCGGGGGCCTGGGGGCCCTGTCAGCACAGAATCCATGCTGATACGCGTGGAAGTGTGGTCTGCGGCCCTGCTGTAGGCTCGGGGGGCCATGGGATAGAGACTTTCCAGCGTTTGGTTCCGGGCACGTTACCCTCCCTGAATCTCAGTTTCTTCATCTTTATGTTAGAGGCAAACCCATAATGATAATAACGGAAATAATAACTTACTTGGTTGAGCTGCCGTTTTAAGAGTTAAGACTCGTGTCACCCTTGCGGTGGCGTCGGGCACGTGGTGAGTACACAGGCAGTATTCTAGGTACTGTCCATGCAGTGGCACTTGTTCGTGTCAAGAGAAATCTGTTTGTGTCCATGGATGTTGGCTTCGGTCACACACTGAAATAGCGCGACACAATTCCCAAGTCTCAGCACGGCTCGATTTAGAAGGCGTTGAACTCAACGAAACACCAGCGAGAAATCCAGCATTCTTTTTACGTCGTTTCACATGAATCTATCCCTTTGCTTAAAAAGGTGGTTTGACTTTTGCCTTTAGAGGCACTGGAATATTTCCTTCCAAACCCCACAATCCTGTTATCGCAGGAGGGTGAGGTCTGATCTAACAGCAGAGGGTCGCGCTGTCTCAGCCGACAGTAGGAACTGTGAGTTGGCACCTGTCCGTTCACGCCACCGATACTCTGTGCTCTGGGGACGCGATGGTGAGTCCACCACCTTGAGGGCCCCCACTGAGCTGCCAGAGACGAGCCACTGGGACGCCGCGGCAGGCCAGGGTGCCCAGAGGGAGGGACGGCTCTGGGAGAGTGGCGGGACCTGCCAGTGTATCTGTAGATGCTCCAAGCGCTCATACTTTTTTTCCTCAATGCAGTAACAAGTCACTGAAAGCTTTAAAGCATATTTGTGTTTCAGAAAGATGACTCCTTGGAGCTATAGTGGGACGGGTGTCAGTATAAAAATCTGTGTGTTCCCGGATACTATTACGAGGGTGGCTGTGCACGGAGCTCCTTGGTGCCTGGAGATCGCACCGTTGGCTCGTCCACAGATGTGGGTGACTGTGAGTCTCTCTCCACGCAGGTGCCCTTGCTCGTGTGAATCAGCAGAGGTCCGAGAACTGCAGAAACCCACCTGCGAGACGCCCGCAACATCACTCGAGGATTCCACGTGGCCAGGAACATCGCATCTGGTGTTTCTTTCTTGTCTGCAGGCCAAAACACGTGCAGTCGATTTTCAGCGTGTTCACGTACAATGGTTCAAAGGGAGGGGGGAGATGCCGCTTTGCTGCGCGGCTTGTGTGCCAAGGAAATGTGTTTTGCCTCTGAATATTTTAAGTTGCCAATAAACTATTCTTGTTGGCAGGTTAATGGGAATACAAATGCTGGAGCCCAGCACTTAATTATATTTATGGGCAGAGTGAAAAAAGAATCATGCCTTAGACTGATTTTTGACCTTTGAGACTTTTACCACATAGAGATGGTTAAAACCATTTGCTGGTTTAGGATCTTTGCGTACTAGAAAAAAAATACATAAATCAACTGAAACACTCTGAATGTTATATGCTACGTGATGCTATGTGTTTTGGCAGTAAGATAAAAAGGGTTGGGGGCTTTTCAAAGGTGACTTTGTCAGGTAATAAAACTACTGGATTCTTCTTCCTCAAATATTTGGAGCTAACACCTCACAGAGGGTTGTGATCATGATCTGACCAACTGAGCGTTTAAAAAGTCAACTGTTGCCACCTATAATCACACATGATTGTGTAGCCAGGGCGTTTCTAAGTCCTCCAGAAGTGACAGGTGGCCGAGATCAGAATGATGCTGGTGGCCGGTTGGTAGCATCTGGAGCGGTGTTCCCCAGCGGGCTGTGAAGTGGGGCAGGCCTCCCCCAAGGGCCTGCGCGCAGAGCCCGCCGATGCCCCGGGAGCCTTCTGCAACCCCACGGGGCCGCGGGCCGCAGAGCTCGGGTCAGAGCTGTGCTGAGCGGTTCCCAGTTTGGTTCGGTCGTGACGCCTGTGCCCGACAGTTCTTCAGCCCACCCTCTGCCAGGTGCTCAGTCACCAGTATTCACGATGAAGTTCAACTACAGCAGTAATTTTTCATATATATCTCTAAAACATTTTGTTATATTGAAAAACAACTCTTAAAGAGAGTGATAGAAATCAAGAGGAGTTCATGAAGTAAAATCTCTGAGCGTAAACAAATGCAGCGAGATGGTCTTCGTTCACAGCTGTCTCGGATCCGGGCATGGGGCAGAATGGAAACTTCGTTCTGCGCTCTCTGACTAACGTCGCTAAACCCTCTTGGCGAGGCAGGAGCTACCAGCCAATCGCTCTTAATCACGGCGGTCTGTTATTTGTCTTTTAGTGCCATGAATAAAAGGAAATCGAATCCTAGCTGTTGTGTGAATTTCGTACTGCGAGTTGCTTGGATGCCCCCCTCTCACGTGGGCAGAGGGGTCACGGCTGCCCGCTGCGCTCCTCTGTCACCACGTCACGTGCAGCAGATAACAAAACAGCAGAATCTCCACCCTTGTGGCATTTACATTACCTGGAGGAGACAGACCACAAACAAGACACGGAAGCAAAACGCTGAGTATATTTAGATGCTGATAAGGGCAGAGGAGTCCCCACTCCCCCTAGTTCATTTTGCTCACAGGGAAGGGACCAACTTTATGGTGAATTTATTCTTGGTTGGAATTGTGTTACTTTCTGCATCTAAAGCTTTCCAGGAGCCTTGGGCTTTGAGATGTGGAATATGGAGTAACTACAGCCTCCTGGATCATGCTTTAGTCTTTTTGCAGAGGTTTTTCATGATTATTCTCAGTTTGTCTTCTCGGCAAACACAAGTAGTATTGAGGCACCATATTCCAGATGAGCAAACTGAAGGCCCAGAAGATTGAGCGTCCCGTGCTCTTGAAACAAGCCTCTGTGACTCCTGCTGCCACAGCGGAGACCTAAAGCCCTTAGCCCGCGAGACCTGGGGGCCTACGTGTGCCCCCGCACCCCGCCCTGCCCACATCCGGGCCTGGGCCTCAGCCGCCCCCACCTGAGACTCACCGAATGTACCGAGGGCTCCTGTGTGCCCCTCACGCGTGAGCGTGTCCCCTGCCTGAGATGCCAGCCCCCCACACCCAGCCCTGTCCTCAAGACGCGGCCCTCCGTGTGCCCCTGCGCAGTCAAGCCTCCTTGTCGCTCCCTCCACGCTCTCGTCTGCCTCTGTCGCCGCTGCACTTCCCTCTGGGCTCACGGGAGCCTGGGGCGGGAGCAGGTCTGAAGGAACTTTCCGGGCCTAGAGTCACACCCGTTATCCCCGCGAAGCTATGACAAGCATCCTCTGCCACTCCCCAGGGGTCCGGCTGAGGGGATGAGTCTGTGGTGTTCCTTGTTTCCTGGTCCAGCTGAGGCGTGCAGCAGCTCCAGTAGAAGGACAGGTGCCCTCGGGAGCAAGGACAGTGGCTGGAGCACGGGTTCCCTTGCGCCTGGCCTGTTTTCTCTCTGCCCCTGTATTATAGGTTGCACCTAGTAGGAGCCCCTGCGGGTCTTTTCAGGGTCCTGCCAGGCTGGTTTCCAGTGAAAGCCGTCTAGAGCCTTCCCTGAGGAGTCTGGCTTCTGAGTCTGCTTATGGCCCTAACACAGGACCTGGTCCGTATCTCCCGCCTCAGTCTAAACAGGGCAGGTCCCTTTGCAATCTGCCTGACAATGTCCTGTGGTATCTTCAATGTCGGCACCATGATATCCCACTCTGGGCATCTCCGTGTAGTCTCAGACTGTCCCTTCTATGTTGACAGCACCCACATTGATCCCTGCATAGCCTTGAGCTCCTGGTTGGAAATTTTAGTTACCTACAAAATCCCTCACCTGCCAACTTGCTGCATCCAGCCATGACCCTACAGTGGCCCACAGCTTCTAGGCGGCCCACCTCTGTGGTCCTCCAGTCAGGAAAATGAACAAAACTCCTCCAACTCCAAATCTTTATTTTTTTCCCCTCCCACAGCCATCAGGTGTTTAAACCTGTTGCTTCTACTTCCATGGCATCGCTCATTACCTTTACATTATACCAGCTTCTTGAAAGTTAGAGAACTTAAAAGTTTAGCCTCACCGGACATGGTGGCTCATGCCTGTAATCCCAGCACTTTGGGAGGCCAAGGCAGGAGGACCACTTGAAGCCAGGAGTTTGAGACCAGCCTGAACAACATAGCAAGACCCTCTCTCTACCAAAAAAAAATTATTAGCCAGGCCTAGTGGTGCATGCCTGTAGTCCCAGATACTTGGGAGGCTGAGGTGGGAGGATCACGTGAGCCCAGGCGTTGGAGGCTGCAGCCTGGGCAACAGAGTGAGAACTCATCTGAAAAAATAAAAGTTCAGCCTCTTACCTATTAACATCTTCCTTTTATTGACCCCAAAGTTAACCCAAAACAGGCACCTTCATGGACCAGGAGCTCCGTGAGGGCAGCTCGCTGTGCTTGGGTGAAAAGTTCATTTTGGTGGGGAAAGCTTAGCCCACGTGCTGCCATGTTGTAAATAGATCATCATTCTGACTCCTCTGTTGTACTTCCCAATTGGTTTGGAACTTGAAAGAACAAAAGGGTGTGTAGTTATCCATTACAAAAACAAGAAAGAAAAGAAAAAGGGCAAAGAGAAAGACAAGTGCCACCACCAGCCCCCGGCGCCCGGCAAGGCCCTCCTCCATGCCCTTCTTACCTCACCTGCGTGGTGACGAAGGAAGGAGACAGAGTGACCAGACGCCCAGGCCCGCCCCTGGGCAGGCCCACAGCAGCTCCCTCCTAACGAGAGAGAGGACCATTTGGTGCACAGTGACATCACCTAGTGCAAGATGTGGCCCAGGCGGGTTCTGAAATCTCACAAATCAGGAGACTCCCTCCCTGCTCGGCGAGGGTGGGCAGGGCAAGGAGAGGGAGGGGGGAGGGGATCAGGAAGGGGTCCCTTTCTCTGCTCCACTCTGCCAATCTTCCTGACTGCTGTGCCATTTAAGGGAACTGTCCAGGGACAAAACGCCTGAGCAGTTTGGATGCAGTGTGGTGTTACTTGTTTGGCTTGTTGCTGGTGCTTTCCGTGGGGACGTGACACTGGGCACCAGCGTGCGCTCCTGTAGACTTGGATTCTGAGCTGCTTGATCTCAGCATTTGCCCTAAAAAGCTTCATGAGAGTGGAGATCCATGAATGCTTTTCTTATTCTTGAGAATTTAATTTTTTGCTTCCACAAAGAAACATACTGTCACTGGGCAGGGGACTGGACTGAACACTGGGAGGCAGGAGTTAAGAGCTGGGACAGTGACACCCGATTTGGGCAGGGCAGTACTGGAGATGAGAGGAAGCTGAACCGTGCCTGGGCCTGGCAGGACTCGGTGCCCACTTGACTGGGAAGGAGGAGGGAGGACAGGTAAGGAGGTTTCTGGCAGCCCAGGACACCAGGCTGCGCTGCTGTCGCTGACAGGGCCTGGGGCTGCGGCTGCAGTTCAGTTGTCTTTGGTGTGTTGTCCTCAGGCAGACCCCCACCCCCACCCCCGGCCACCAGCACTCCCACAGGCATGTGGCTTCCTCAGAGAGAAGCTGGGGAGACCTGCATCTGTATCCTCTTGCTGCTCCACCTCAGGAAAGCTCCTAAGGGGCTGAGAATCAACATAGCAAAGCCCCCTGGAGGCCCCTCTCCTAGCAGGTGCCCGGGAGCTCTCCAGACGATGTCTGTGACGCCAGGTCCTACAACAGGGGCCAGTGCCAATGTCACCATCCCCTTCTCTAGAGTCCAGCACCTGGAGGCAGGTACTGGGCCCTGGCCTGACAGCTCCTGCCAGGAGCCAGCAGCATCCAGGCAAGAGATGTGGACCTGTTAGGAACGTCCCAGGGAAGGGCCACCTGCAGCCTCGGAGTAAAGTACTCCAGTAACTGAAGCAGCCTCGCCTCTCTGTACTCATCAAGGGCTGGCCTTCCTTCCCTCCTTCCTTCCTACCTTCCCTCCTTCCTTTCTCCCCTCCTTCATTCCTTCCTTTTATCTTTTCTTCCAACAATCACTAAGAGAGCTTCTCAAAGCCAGACCCTGTGATGGGTGCTGGGGGAACACTGTGAGTTCCATAAGGTTCCTGCCTTCAGAGGGAACATGTGGAAATGGCCAATCTCAGTGAGTGTGACAGGCATCCCAGGGGAGAGGAGGGGAATTCATCCAAGAGGAGGGCTGTGGCCTAAGCCCCTGAGCTGCGTGCGAAAGGCCCATCGAGCTTAGCAGGGCGAAGGGGCAGGGGCAGCCAGCCAGGCAGTGGGAGCAGCACTTGGAGAGGTCAGAACCAAGCACACATGCCAGGGCCTCTTGGGGGGTGCTCTTGGGGAGCATGGGATGATTCTGCGCTGGGCTGTTTCCACTGAGTCCCAGGATCGAAGCTGCCTCCTTCTAGTCTAGTTGGACTAAAAATGCAAATGTGTTCGAAGCTGAAGGGTCCAGAAGTGATTAATGTGGCACCTGCTCCTGAGTGGTTCAGCCAAGGTCCCAACGGGGGCACCAGTAAGGAAGTGCAGGGGCAGTAGCTCACCCAGAACTGATGGAGCCCACCCTTTTTGCCAATGGAAAAACAAATGTGATAGAGCTGCAGACTCACATCCTAGACCCTCATGCCAATGCAGAGACTTTAAGGGGCATGAGGCAAGGCAGGAACGTGGCATTCTCAGCCCACTGGCATATACACGTTGCCCTCCCACCGTGTCCTGAGCCTGGGCTCGCCCCATCCCGTCCTCACACACAAACTCCCTGTAATGCTTCCCTGATGTGTGGGCGCCCCACCCTGAAGACCATGGGGTGGGGCTGGTCCTGATGGAAGGACCCCGCAGCAAAACAGAGGGCTTGGCCAAGGCACACAGCGTGTATGTGGCAAAACCACGGCTCAATTGGTGGCCCCTTGGCTCAACTCTAAAAACACTGAACTGCTCGTATTTCCACAAACATACCATGTGGGCTCACTCTTCCGTGCTTTGCTTTAGAACTCCTATTCATCCTCCAAAACCCAGCCATCTCCAAGGGGGAATCCCTCCACGACCACTCTATGGCCCTGTGGAAGGGGCTTCTCCTGCTGCTGGGGCCACTTCACATTGGAGTCCATGGGCTTCTGTGACTGGGAACTCTGGGGCTGTGTTTGCTCATGCAGGACTTTTAGGCCTGAGCGCACAGTAATGATGCCATAGGCATCTGTTGAATGGACCTGATTCTGCGTGCCCCGAGGCAAATTCTGGTGGAGCAGAAAGCAGAGAGTTCCAGGCTGAGCTGAGGGGAGGGATCTGTAGCACCAGACCTGAAAGGGAGCAGAGAGAAGATGGCCCTGGGCTGTCAAAACTCA